GACCATCGGACGAAGCCTCCTCTCCAGTACCTTGGAGTAGACCTTACCGGGGAGGCTGAGGAGTGTGATCCCACGATAATTGGAACACACCCTCCGGTCCCCCTTCTTGTAGAGAGGGACCACCACCCCGGTCTGCCACTCCATTGGCACCGCCCCCGATCGCCACGCGATGTTGCAGAGACGTGTCAGCCAAGACAGTCCTACAACATCCAGAGACTTTAGATAGTCAGGACGGATCTCATCCACTCCCGGCGCCTTGCCACCATGGAGGCTGCCAACCACCTTGGTGACCTCGGCCAGGGAGATGGAAGTATCCGCCCCAACATCCTCAGCCTCTGCCTCCTGGACGGGGGATGTGACGGGGGGATTGAGGAGAACCTCGAAGTATTCCTTCCACCGCCCGACAATATCCCCAGTCGAGGTCAGCAGCCCTCCACCCGCACCATACACGGTGTTGGCAAAGAACTGCTTCCCCCTCCTGAGGCGCCGGACGGTTTCATTACACGGTTTCAAAACACTTTCATTTAAACATGTGATCATTTCAGTGCATGACCGAGTGGTTTTGTTGCGGTTCTGAGCCACAACAAAAGTAAAGAAACAGGTGAAACGGGTGAAAGAGGTCGTGTCCCAAATGTCTGATGAATAATGATTGGGTTAATATTCAGCAACTGACTGTGGAGAAGCTCAGTCAGGTGATGGTATGTTTTGGAAATGACAAAAGTGTGCCGCTCCAGTGAGTCCAAAGTGTGTCTGTTAGAGAGTTAGATTTCTTTAATACCTGCAGAAGACATTTTCCCATATCTCCACACTAATACAGATATATTTTTGCGTCTTGCTTCAGCCTTATAGACCGTATACGAGAAGTGGACCATAATGTTAGCCTTAATGTGGAAGAAGCCGATTTGAACATAAGCTAGCTGGAGCCGATTCCCTTATATGGGCATTTCTTCCGACTGGGTTATGTAAAAGAGACAGATGCAAACTCACGTGTTGCTAACATGGTGGTTAAGGAAAGTTGGAATTTTCTTGCCGAATTAATGCATTAGATTGGCTCATATCCTGTGTGACCCAAACGGTTACTGAGCAAGAGGAGTTTAATTTATTTATAAGTGTATAGGATCCGGAGACAGTTGGAGCAAAGCTTTCATTGAGCTAGCGAGTTAGCATCGTCCTTCTATACACAGTCTCGGATCAGGCTCACTTCAGACTTGACATTATTCACATGAAGTCACAGTTAATTTGCACAGTGGGAGAGTGAGCTTACCTACCTACTGTCAGACTTTAGTTACACTTGCAGTGCAGTGGCGGCCTGAGGGATGGGATGGAGAATGTGTTAATCACAGAACAATGAGATTATGAAGAGGGACACAGAGGAATAGAGAGACACTGCAAATATTCAGGACTGTTAACCCAGATAATTATGAAATATATCATTTTAATTGTATGTACTGTATGTAGTTGGGGATCACTCCATCTGCTGCTGCCACATCCTGTATCCTTTCTTTAGATCTATGGCTGCTTCTATGTTTGTTCCTAGGATTGGTTATATGGATATTGTCAAACTCATTTTGGTTAGGGGCCAAAATTAAAAAGATAATAGCTGGATGGGGCCAAAAGTATAAATGGGATTTTGTTTAGTTTTTCTTTTAACATATTTTCATCTTTTGACAAATGAACTGTATTTGACCCAAGTTTGGATATTATTTTCTTGTCGGTTTAGATTCAACTGCAACTGGGGCAAAAATCAAGGAGAGAGGTATTGGAGGACTGATAGTTCTCCTAATGACATTTTAGTTCACATTTAAAACAATAGGCTTTACAACAAAGTATAACATGCCATAGTATTCCATTACCATCAATAATGTAAGTTAATGTACTAAAAAATAATTGAAAATCATTTGAGGGGCCTCCAACAATGGTCCCTGAGTTTGCCATGCCTGTCATAAGGTATAGCTTTATAATAACAGAACACAGCAGGAGGTGGTATCACCTGAGTGTGTCTCAGGGCAGTGTGCGGCTGCAAACGTCACGAATGTCACTGTTTTAACTTGCGGAGCGGTAAATTTGACAGCCGTTTGTTTTGGAAGTGTAATTCTTCAGCTAACTTTTTTAGTCTTTGTGGCTTTTCTGTATCTACGTATTTATTTCCAGCTCATTATTTTAAAGAGATTATCTTTAATTTTTGAAATGTGAGGAGCTCCATCTTTAACTTCATCCAAAAGTAGCAACCAACATACTGTGGCAGTTAAAGACTTTTCCTTGACTGATCCTGGACTGGTCAGGGAGTGGTCTGGACTGGTACTGAACTGGTTTCGGATTGGACCTCAACTGGTTCCGGACTGGTTTGAGCTTTCCACCAGAGGAGTGCGTGCTAGTTACCATAGCAACACTCTGTTTACATACTAGCAGTTAGCGTTTAGCCTAATTGTTTTCGTTATTTTTGTAAGTTCTAGCGTACACAGACCTTATAAATGATTTACTTTGATAAAACCTGTGGAAAACTTTTTCAGATCGATTTATTGTTCTGGGAGTTCTCGTAGTTTCAGAATTGTCCTGGTTTTAAACTATAGAATGTACATACAGTGCACAGTGGAGGAAGTACATGACATTAGAGAACAATCTGATTTATTTGCAGATGTCGTGTAATTAGAGACAGAATGGACTGGAGAAAGAAAAGCATGCATTCAAAAGGTTTAGTAACAACTTCCCATGAAAATATTAAAGAAAGACACAGAAATTGTTCACACGTTACACTTACACAAATAATAGAAAACATAGATTTAAGTCGATACTGAAATGTTAGAGTGGTGGAAGTTGTTTTCTTTGGTTTGTTAATCTTTCCTTTTTCAATATATTAAATGATCAAAACAAACAAAGATAGACTTACAGGAGGGACATAGGGTAAAGTCAAAACTACACAAAATACACAACAAAGAGCACGACAGAAATTACAAAAAACATCGACAAATTATAAAAAATAACTTGTAATCTTGTTGTATAAACATTTAAAAAAGCACTCAAAAAATGTAATGGTTACTACAGCACAAAACACACACACAGAGACAATAAATTATAATCAAATCATTTCATGTTATAGTAATATTAAAAAGGGTAAATCATGACCAAAGTCAGATTTCAAAAGAAAGGTCATTTAAAAGTGTTGACCGTAGTGAGCCATGCATATCGCGTTTTGTCAAAGCTAAAGCTATCTAAATAAAGTTAAAATAAAATAAGATAGCAGAGTATGCATGTATAAAAGTTAAGCACACAGAATGAATACTTACAGCGTGAGAATCCCTCTTTAAAACAATCAAACTAATAAGACAAAACCCTCCCATAAACAAAGTCCCAATCTTTATCCGACTTCAGTCAACACCGGTCTTTAAATCATCTACATACTCTGATAACGCTGTTTTAAAGAGGGAGTACGCAACATTTAAATAGCTGTAAATAAACAGTACAAACTGAGGCAACGTCAAGCTCCTCTGAATGAGGCACTTGAGCAAAGACTGCTTACCTGAGACTGTGTGAGGCCCCTTTCAATCAACTCATTACTTATTTCACTTTTGAGTTTTTCAGTCACCAAGTGCAGCTTTTAATTATTTTATTTTTGTATCCAGGTCTCCTCAGTGAAAACACAAAAGCCCTATGCTCTGAACTACACGAGGTACTGAAAGCCCAGTTCAGTCCAGGGAATAGTATTTCAGAGTCATTTCACGCTGACAACACAACACTCTTGTAAATCAGTTGTCGAGAAACTGATTTGAAAGTCTGAATGCTTGCGATGTTTATTTTACTTTTCAGCGTGGCATGTTTCAAGAGCTACTATTCCTTGACCTTCACGGCTCCATTAACCCAAGTGACCGTTGGCCTTGGAAGCATTATGCTAGTTCTGCACCCCTGCACTCACCGCCACAGCCTGAGAATAGACCGAGGCTGGACAATTGATTTCTACATAAAACATTTGTGCATATGGGAGAATGCACCTGTCGTCTTCCATGAAATGCTTTTCTTTTTATTGCTACTATCTGGAAGCTGATCCAAGGTGAAGGTCTTTGGGGTACGGAGTAAACACAAGTAAACACACACTAGTAGGGGAAACCAAAAATAAGCAACACACACAACAACACAACCACAGCACTCAGACGATTTGGACACGGACACAGTGTAGACATATAAGAATGAAGGAGCCCACATACACACGCGTGATATGACACAACCTGAAGAGAGAGACACAACAACACAAGCACATCAGACAAGGTACCCCCGCTCCCACGCAATCTTCACACTGTCTTTATTGGTTATTGACACAGGACACGACAAGTGGGAGATCTGCCTGTGTGTGCGAACGCCCACATGGACGCACTCACTCTTTCTAACATCACCTCGCACACATACAGTGCTTATTGTGTGCCTCAAACACATCTGAAACAATTGAACATACTCTCTATCGTGTATTTCATCACAATTACATATTGTACACATGTATATTTTACCGGAGCAGATGTTTAACTCAAAGACAAAGCCACAAAAAACGTTTTGAAAAATTCACAGCTTATTTAAAAACTCAATATTAGAGGCATACTATGTCCTTGTTTGGATGAGTGCACCTTAAAGATAGTCCTCTTGCCGTGTCCTTTTGTATAGGACAAACCAGCATGGAAAGCCAAATCATATTTTTGTTTTATTTATTTACTATGCTTAAAATATATTTTGTCCTCTCACTATTTTTCAGATATATATTTTTGTTGTTGATATTTCTGTATCCTGGGAACCTTTGAAATAGTAGTAGTTTACATCATTTTGTCATCATTGTTCTTACACAGTATGCCTTTAATAAAGACAGTCAGACATGGAAGCATGAGAGCTGTATGTTGCACTGGTTTTGAGAGCATGCTTGTGACACTTTCTGGAGACTATTCAGTGGCAAAATAAATGAAATCAAAATGACTAAGCTGCAGGTTCCTTGTTTTTGACTTGTTTCAGTGTTACCTCTGGCGCTATGGTTTGATCCAGGAGGAGGTGGAGTTTGCATTGAGGTCCTGCTGTAACAGAGACCCTTCCATCTTATACCAATCCTCAGTCAGAGGGGAGTCTGGGCTGGGCGCCAGGGCTGCGGCCTCTAGTTTGTTGTCAACAGGGGGTTGTTTGGAGGGAGTGTGAGGGAGTGTTTTGGTGCAGGTTTGGCGATAGAGGTGGTTGGAGTTGGTTAAAGTAGTAAATGGATTAAGGTGTCAGGTTTTTATGAGCAAAACATGATGCATATGGGAGAATGAATCCCAATAAACGGAGTAGGGGAGGGATATGATTGGATCAAAGGGAAGGGGGAATGTAGGGGAGAGGGGAGGAGTTGGGAGTTTTCACAAAAGGGGCAAAAATTAACAGGACGAGGCCAAGCGGGAGAGGAGAAAGAGAGAAACAGGGAAGAGGTGACGAGAAGAAAATTAATGCATGGTCAACTGTCTGAGTCTAGAAGACAGAGAAAGACAGATCCATTTCTGATCATGAATGAATGTGACATTATGGGACAAGCAACGTTCAGTCACACGCACAATGGTAGAGATAAGATGACAGACATAATGCAGTCAGCCACAAGAAGAAAGAAAAGAAAAATTGAGAAGGACAGAACATTTGTACAGACAGACAAATACACAAAGCAGTGAAGAGACAAAGATGAGATGAGTGTGAGGTGGAAACAAATACAGCAGAGCAGAGGAGTATGTATATATCAAATGTTATTGTTGTCTAACTAGTTTTTGGACTTGAAGTGTCTTAAATAATGTCTGCTTCATTAGGACCACAGTACTTACCCCATGAACTTATGCCTATTGCTGGGTTGCAGCCAACGTCACGCAGCGACGCAAAAGTCAGAGGGACAGGAAGTAAATCTCCCCATTTAGAACAATGTAAATCTCAAAATGCTTATTTTCTGTGGCGTATGCAGTTGTTGCAACTGCTCGTATCAAGGGGAGAACTAATGGAGTCTCTGTTTTGCAAAAATATATTTCTCTAACGGGTGTATTTCTTTAGGAAAATGCCAAAAAAGGAGTGCGTAGTATCTGCGGCCTCAACACAACTGACAGTCCGCAGTCTTTACTTCGCTGACTTTCAGATAAACAATGCACTCTTTTCGTAAGGTATACGGTTGTAGTAACTGAGGCAACAAGGAGAAAAACTTTTTAAAAGGTTGTCTCAAATAGTTTATAAAAAACTAAAAGGAAGCTGAGCCAAGTCTTCTTACAAAGAATTTAGTTTTCATCTGGTCATTATTTTAAAAGAGTGGTAAACATATTGATGTCCCATTTATCATATAATTGATCAGAACTTTCATCTTGGACGTGGCTTCTGTTGAACCCAGAGTGTCCGTCTTCCTGCATCGCCCTGTCTAACTGATAGGGGAAAAACACTTCCTGTCCTACAGCCGCCTGCCACGCCCCTTTTGGATTACGTGAGTGCAACCCAGCAATTGCATCATAACCTTGATATCACTGTGTGTTATTGAAGGAATGCAAGAAAAATCCGGTGCCTGTAGCCAAACATACCTTTCCGCACATTCCCATCTGTGGCACGGAATTCCCTGGTGTTGAGCAGGAAGCAGGCGCGGTCCTGCTGGTACCTCTCCCGCGTCGGGCCTCGGCCAATGGGACTTCTCTCGTCTGGACTTAACACTTGGTCGATGTTAGGGCAGTCCTCATTTGCCAGAGCGGCTGAGGCTGCGTCACCATTCTGCTTCGAATCTACAAGAGTGTGGATTAGAGGTCACTGTGATATACAGGCTGAACACATTATAGGAACTCACTTTCTGACTGATGGTCATACATTGTGAAATTAACTGTAACAAAATAATTTAAATACACCTTTTAGGGGGTAATACATGATAATTGAGTCTATTTTAATCCTATTAAGTGTGTTTTAAACAAACAGATGGATGCCTTGAGGCTGGTGTGAACCCACTACAATCATAAATTACTCATGAGATTCAATAAGCGAGTCAATTCTCTTGAGTAGAATGAACTTGGAAGTCCTCCCACTTCTTTCTGTTGAGACTAAAATACAAGCGTACACTCTTGGATCGTATCTGATGATAGATTTGTGCAGAACTGCATCCAAATGTTTGTAAATTGGCAAGAAAATATATACAGTAGAAATGGGAAGTTTCCATAATATGTTAAAATACATTTAAATAGTTTGCACCTGTACTAGTTTTATTATTATTAATATAGTAGCTATTACCAAGGTTTTTTCTATTGGCCCAGTGCCACAATACTGAGAGAGGTATTGCCTCTGAATTATTTATATTACTTTAGGTTTATTTTCAGAAAGCGAAACATAATAAATCATAATTCTTTCTACAGTGTTTGTAGACTTCCAGTTCCCGCTGTATATTACATACAACTGAAACAGATGAATGCATCAGAATACAAAAAGGTGAAGCCAAGATGTAGAAATGATCAAGCTAAACCAGAGTATATAAGTGTCTCACCTCTATTTATCTCTATAATTTCTTCTTGGGCAAGAGGACAATCACCCCCCATTCCTCCAGACCCCATTACCCCACCAAGCACATTTCCCAAGAGTCTCTGTGGTGATGCAGTAGCCATTGCCAAAGCATCAGGCTTGCAGTAGTTTGGGGACCCTGGCTGGGGTGCTCGAGGGATATGTTTGTTCTTCTTTTTAGGCAGCTTTTGTTTGGCCATTGCCAGAGAGTAATACATGCCGAAGTTGTTGACAATAACAGGAACAGGCATAGCAATGGTCAGCACACCAGCCAAGGCACACAGCGCGCCCACCAGCATTCCTGACCACGTCTCCGGGTACATATCCCCATAGCCCAGGGTGGTCATGGTCACCACAGCCCACCAAAATCCAATGGGAATGTTCTTGAAATTAGTATGGGCACTGGCAGTCGGGTCGTCTGGATCGGCACCGATTCTTTCAGCATAGTAGATCATAGTGGCAAAAATGAGAACCCCAAGCGCTAAGAAAATAATCAGCAGAAGGAATTCGTTGGTGCTGGCTCGGAGGGTGTGCCCAAGGACGCGCAGACCAACAAAATGTCGAGTGAGCTTGAAGATTCTGAGGATGCGGACAAACCGGACAACACGCAGGAAGCCCAGGACATCCTTGGCGGCTTTAGAGGACAGCCCACTCAGGCCGACCTCCAAGTAGAATGGAAGAATAGCAACAAAGTCAATAATATTTAGGGAGCTTTTGAAAAATTCCAATTTATCTGGGCAGAAAGTGACTCGTAGCAGCACTTCGATGGTGAACCAGATCACGCAGACCCCCTCTACGTACGTCAACCAGCTGTCGGTGACCACCTCGTACACAATCTCCTCCCGGGTGATGTTTCCCACCGTGACGTTCTCAGTCTTGTTGACGATGGTGTTGAAGGCCTCATGAGTCTCCATGCAAAAAGTGGAGATCGAAATGAGAATGAAGAATAGGGAGCCAAACGCCACATACTGAGGAAAGACAGACACAGAGAAGGAAAGAGACAAGACGAGAGGAGTTAGTATTGAAGCAGTTAGTTGCAGAAAAGAGTAGTAATAGTCTGATGGCAAATATTTTCTCCAGGAGGCACACTGGAAAATTGGTATATTGTGAAGGGCCGAACTAATTTTCATGTGGTTACCATTTAATTTCATTTGAAACAACATACATGCATGTAAGTGACCAAAACCTGAAGATATCCAACGTTCTCTTTTGCATCTGCGGCTATATTTCTGTTAACATTTTACAATATAGGAGGTATCTTGAGGAAATTACTATTGTGTTAAATAAGATTTTACACTTTTTTGTTGTCTCAATTACAAAGAAAGCTAAGCAAACACAGAACAGATACATGTTGGGAAAAGCGAAGTGACCAGGTCTGCTATAAACATTTGCTAGAAGAAAGTGATTCAGATTGAAAGCAAGAGAAACACAGCACGATGCAAAATGCTGGGGTAAGCAAGAGTCTGAAGAAAAAGCCTGTGTCTGAAGTCGTGTGTTCGGTACAAGGCAGCACTTCCTGTCAACATCGCTCTGAACTTTAAAGAAGCGCGAGACGTTGGACAGAAATCACGGACTCCCTGTCACAACAGCCCTATCCTTTCCTTGGTGTTGTTAAACAAGTATTCACAGGTTTGCAACGCCTGGACATCCGTGTTCTCTGCATCAGATACATTTATGCTTTCGACTTTTAACGAGGGCGGGTTGACTTCATCAGAGGGTAATGCTTCTCTGATCAGTTACAATAGATGTGAACTGATGTAAAGGTTTTCAGAGAGATTTTGCCAGAAGTATGTAATCTGTAGCACTTTGACATTCAATTCAATGTATTTTTGTATAGCCCTAAACAGTAGTTATCTCACAGCACTTTACAAAACTGACAACAATCATAAAAAACTAAATTTTTATAAATGGTTGATCAAGTCAAATGTTGAATGTAAATCAATAAAATGTATTATTATTATTATTGTTATCACTTACTATTATTTTTATTAAGTTTCACATCTCTGAAAGAAAAGCGTTTTCTACCACTTATATTTGGATCCTTGCCTGTCTTTCGCTTAGGGTTCTGTCTTTCACATTTGCCCCCACTGGTGACAACATTATAAAATATATCATATACAGTATGTGTGTGTTTAGTTGAGATGTATTTTTGTTTTATCATCTCGTAGGCTGGACAAGATTTACCAGTTTATAATAATCATATGAAAATACTGATACATCGGCCAAATAACTAAATCCATCACATTATTTTACTGTAAAGTCAATGCATCCTCAACAAGCCATGTAATCATAACTTAAGTTTTGGAAGTGAAATTACACTTTTTTCCCCATGAAATCCTGAGGTTGCCTTTTCACCTGATGTTTCTTCGACCACGTGATGTTGTTTGTTCTGAGTCCACACTGGGAAACGCAGCGCAAAGATAAACCTTGCGTCTATACATTCCGTTTTTATTAATATTCTTTTTCCACAAACGTTGCTTTTCTCCTCGGTGTTCTCTGTGTACCGACGCAGAGGCAAACCCCACGTCATTGACAGGAGCGTGCTAACGGTAAGTGTGGTCTTAGCGCAGTCTCTCAATGCCCTGCCTACAGTGTATTTATAGAGGCAGTATACTTTGGGCTGTAACAAATAAATAATAAAACACAGACATGGCCTGAAGAGCCACAGAGAAAGGTAATTCAACTTGAGTGGATCCCATACAGTACAGGACTAAGTGCCTCCAGTGTTGTGCGTGTCACTGTGCATCTTAAGCACCATGTCCTTATGTAATACACAAATGTAATGAAGCAATTTCCAGCTATTTGTTGCTTAAAAGGTTTCCCATATTTTTGTCACTTGCCTGTCGGATGGGAGTAAATTATAGTAGTGTGAGTGCCTTTATGACCGGAAGTAGCAAAACTTAACACTCCGAGCTGCTGTATTGATTCACAGACAAGCAAAAAGTCTCCAAGAGGGTTTATCAAATTAGATATTTATTCCCTTTCCGATAAGCCTACTATCAGCTTGCATACTTTGCTGTTGTGATCCAGAGTACAGAACTTTTCCATCATTAAGTTGCTTGGCTCTCGTCCCAAATATTGCTCCTCTTTCCTCTTCTGGGTGTTCAGTCTGACCTACTTTATCAGACTGCAGGATTTCGCCGTCTGTGGCTTGGAAACATATATGGTTCTTAATTTCTACCGGTATTTATACAGTTTTGTATAGTTTCCTTTCTAGTATGGAGTTTCTCGTCATCTAGGTATTAACACAATGTGACTGAGTGAGACTGATCAGGTATAATTAATAGGAGAAACCAAAGTGATTAAATGCTTAAGGAAAATGTTTAACACAAAAGAGGCTAGGTTAATGTGACATCACAACATTCTAAAGAGCCTATGCTAAAGATTGCGGTTGAGGGCAGTTGAAGAGTCCTAGTTCTTAAATTATTACAGGTAACTATGGTCTGTGTCAAACATTTTTAGTCTTGTTTTATTGCTAATTTCGCAAAAAAGTTCCACACCTTTTTCTAAGGTCTTAAGTGTTCTGTGTCTAGAAATGGTGACAGTATTTAAAAAAATTAGCATGATGTTACAAAAGAACAATATGGAGGGTTAGTGGATCTTTCTTTCTGGACTATAAGCCGCACCAACTACAAGTTTTCATTTTGTAATGTAACAGAGACGACCGTTTTAACTGAACTCAACGTGATTTAATGACGGAGTTTAACAGCTTCACCGTTAGCTTCCATCACTCATTCATCTATTTATTTGTATCTATAGAGAGAAAATTTAGATAATAAACTACAACTTGATGGATTCAAAATATCCAAATAATAAGTCCATAAAGTCTGCGCTGACAACTCTACTACCACCATAAAAATATACATATTACCCGCATCGCTATATAAGCTGCAGTGTTCAAAGAAGTCACAAAAGGTAGCGGCTTATAGCGACGTTTACTTTTTCAATATTTATTTCCAAAAATGGCTTCTTTCTCTTAGAGTTCTATAAGCACGGATAGAACTCTGGGACATAAACAGAAGCTATGGGATATGTATCATTCTTGCGTACATAAGATAAAATAACTTTTTTCCGTTCCATTGTGGGGAAATGTCACTGTTGCAGCGCACATACAGGATGGCTTCAATGTCAGTGCAATCAACGCTTCAATAACATGTGCAATAAGTTTAATTCTGGAGAAAGAGGTGCTGTGTTATCTTTGAGGTGGAGACACTGGGAGACGGACAGTGGGGAGAGAGAGAGAGACAGAGACACGGTAGAGAGATCAAGAACGATAGAGAGAGAGACAGAGACACAGTAGAGAGAGTGAGACAGGACAGAGAGACAGAGACAGTAGAGAGAGCGAGACAGGACAGAGAGATAGAGAGACAGAGACAGTAGAGAGAGCGAGACAGGACAGAGAGATAGAGAGACAGAGACAGTAGAGAGAGCGAGACAGGACAGAGAGATAGAGAGACAGAGACAGTAGAGAGAGCGAGACAGGACAGAGAGATAGAGAGACAGAGACAGTAGAGAGAGCGAGACAGGACAGAGAGATAGAGAGACAGAGACAGTAGAGAGAGCGAGACAGGACAGAGAGATAGAGAGACAGAGACAGTAGAGAGAGCGAGACAGGACAGAGAGATAGAGAGACAGAGACAGTAGAGAGAGCGAGATAGGACAGAGAGATAGAGAGACACGGAGACAGTAGAGAGAGCAAGACAGGACAGAGAGACAGAGACACAGTAGAGAGAGAGACACAGAGGAGAGCGAGACAAGACAGAGAGAAACAGAGAAACAGTAGAGAGAGCGAGACAGGACAGACAGAAACAGAGACACAGTAGAGAGAGCAAGACAAGACAGAGAGGGAGACAGAGACACAGTAGAGAGAGTGAGACAGGTCAGAGAGAGAGACAGAAACAGTAGAGAGAGCAAGACAAGACGGAGACAGACACAGTAGAAAGAGCGAGACAGGACAGAGAGAGAAACAGTAGAGAAAGCAAGACAGGACAGAGAGAAATAGAGAGAGACAGAGACACAGTAGAGAAAGCAAGACAGGACAGAGAGCGAGAGAAACAGTAGAGAGACCAAGACAGGAAAGAGGAAGAGACACAATTGAGAGTGAGACAGGACAGAGAGAGACAGAAGAGAGAGCAAGACGGAGAGAAAGAGACAGACACAGTAGAGAGAGCAAGACAGGACAGAGAGAGAGAGACACAATTGAGAGCGAGACAGGACAGAGAGAGACAGAGAAACAGTAGAGAGAGCAAGACAGGACAGAGAGAACGAGCGAGAGACACAGTAGAAAGAGCGAGACAGGACAGAGAAAGAGAGAAAGCAAGAGAGAGAGAGAGAGGGAGCGAAGAGACAGAAACACAGAACGAGAGAGACAGAGAAACTGTAGATAGCGAGACAGGACACAGAGAGAGAGATACACACAGAGAGAGCGAGACAGGACAGAGAGCAAGAGAGAGAGACAGAGAGGAGAGAGACACACACAGTAGTGAGAGCGCACAGGGAGCACATAAAATATACAATATAAGTGGCTGCTATGTTTTTAAGCTAGCTGTAAATGCTTCAATATCAGTGCAATATGTTTAGTTCTGAACAAAGAGGTCCCGTGTCTTTGAGGTGGAGACACTGGGAGACGGAGATGGCTCAGACCTCGTTCACGCGGCAACCAAAGAAAGCAGAAATGCATCCTCAGAGAAGAATCGCAAAGACGACACGTCACGTTTTGACGGACTAAATGTGATGTGAGTCCCGTGGATCGGATCGTTTCTAACACAGAGAACTCAAAGGCATGACAGCACAAAGGCAGAAGGGGTAGGAGCTGAAACAGAGGCAAAGCTCAGGATGCTGAAGAGTAATGCTAAATGACAGGCTTCAACCAGTGGCTTGTGTCAACTCCAGAGACGGGAGGAACTGTGTGTGG